AGCCATTTAACTCTGTACATCTGCTATAGATGAGACACTCACGTTTTTTGTGTATTCAACATGGCAAAGATAAACGTAAAGCCAGCATGGATAATACTATGCACCAGCCACCACTCAAGAAACTAGCGTCAGAGAGTCCTATAAGTGCAACACCGGGAAACTCATTGCCAGTCGACACGCCAGGATCAAGCAGTGGATACCCAACAATTATGTGGACTGCAGACTCTAATTTACAATCATCACTGAATGAGAATGTGCCTGGAAGCAGAGGCAGGAAGGAGATGGTCGGTGGTCAAGGGCCAAAAATTTCGGCAGCCCTTGATCAAGTGTGAAAGGATTATGTGGATGGTGGACATTCACTGCCTTTGCTACATGAATATTTTGGTTAGTGTGTTGTCCTTTATACCTTCACCTGCAGGCTGCATAGTGTGTTGTCCTTTATACCTTCACCTGCAGGCTGCAGCATCTTTCTTCTTTTGATCTTTAGACAACGGTCGCACGGAGAACAAATGTACTGATCATCAATCTCTCGAGTCCTTATGGATGTCTAGGGTTGTTTCTTTAATATAGTCTATTTTAGTGGAACGTCATCATCCCCAACTCCGCCTAATGTACATTGACACGATTAAATTATTTGTATGTTACCGTATAATTTTCTTTTCGATCATCTTATAGCTACTATTTGATCTGTATCTTTCGGAAAATATTACTTTGATGAAGTTTGCCATAATCAGGTGAGGATGAGCACTCCTTCACTTTGTTTCTTAAAAACAACCCTGCTGAATCTCTCGTGCAAGATATACAAGCAGATATGTTACCAAATACATTTCCTTATTTTCTTCATACACAATATACCCTATCATCCTTACAAAAACGAATATGAGAATAGAACAGGTTTACAACATAAGTCAATAAGAGCACAATATGTAAAAATGATCACAAAAACGTCGTCTGCATTTATAAAAATTACATACAACTCCGACACCAAAAGAATTCTGGGTATGTCTTACACTAAATATTTATTCTTCACACGCCCAATTTGCTCCACAATAAATAAATAGGTTTCCAAACGGTTGCATACGCATTTCGTGTAACACATCATTCCGTTTCGTTCAAAATAGGAACAATTAGTGGTTTCATCTGTGCTAGATACACTATTGCCCACCTGCATAGGAATAAAGAAAAACACAGTGACCCGAAGATTTAGACGAACAAAGTTTGCAAAAAATACAAGGCCAAATAATCAAAGCATTTCCTGAATCAGAATTCAGAAATAGAATAAAAGCAACAAGCCCAAATAAAAAAATCCCATAAAAAAACCATATTCCTACCCAGAACCCAAAGAAAATACGAAAGAAATAGAATATATTACAACCTGTTCTCACTGTTAAGATTCAAAATTGAAATTACAAACTATTCTATGAGAATTATTCGTCCAATATCAGGAGGGAGCATTATGTGCTTTCAAATACATCAAGCTGCATGATAGATCAGTAGCAAGTTGAGGATAAGAAGAGAGCCGAATTTGAAGGATGAACTCAAGCTTCTAGACAAAAGAGAAAGAAAGCAACAAGATTCAAAATTACTGATGTTGAACTCTCGAAGAAGAAAGCTACGACATAGAACAAAATTTACCAGCCACGGTGGCCATAGTTGCTCTAGGATACTATTAGACAATCCAGTTGTAAATTACAGAAAAACCTATGAAGAATAAGCAAGTAAAACATTTGACATGATTCATTGCATGAAGGATACACTGATATGTGGCCAATAAAAAATAACAGTATTATGACTGCAGCATGTCAAAAGCATGAACACAACCAAAATCAGGAGAGGAATAATAAGATATTAAGAATACAATATGCCCCTGTTTGGTTTAGATGAAAATTAGATTTTTGGTAGATTTTGTAGAAGTTGATGGAATGTATAATTGAAAAGTTGTGTCCCATGAAATGTTTAGTTAAAATTTAATTGTTGACTTTGACTTATTAACTTGTTTTTCAGCTGAACCAAACATGGGCTATATATCTATTTGCTGATAGATAGGGAGTTTGACTTACATCATCCAACAACATACAGTTGCAGTAATGACCAATGTCAGGTGTAACCTGCATCAAAAGATAGAAACAGCAGCATGCCAAAAATAAGTTCAACAGCTCAACACAAGCAAATCCCATCAGAAAAGTTAATGGTACCAAACAGTCACGAGGACAATTGCAATGTATTAATAGTATGCTAAAAAAAAGACACTCGAGTTTATTCTGCAAACAACTTTACCCTGACATCAATTACATCTATAAAATTATTATTCATCAATATCGAACTAGAGTCATATATTCTAACCTGTAACTAAATGGACCTTTGATGTTCTATCAAATCATTTGATCTCAACCAATTGTTAAATTTTGCTTTATGTAAAAATTAAACAAGAAGCTAACAATAATACCAGTAAGACACAATTTTCTCATAGATAAAATTTCAGATGTCAAGATAAGGCCCTCTAAATCTTCCCCTATAATTTATATATCATATAATACTTCACATTCATGCTTATCAAGTGCCCAACTTTTTCAGTCCAGTATTTGACCAACTATGAAAGAAAGCACAAACTTGAAAACAAATGTATACATACAGATTTGCAGAGGGTCCCCTGTTGCAGCATATTCTAATGCATAGAGATGCAATAATCCCGACCACAACGAAAATTAGGGTTGTCACCAAAAACCCCATTTCCAATCCGATCTCCCTGATGAATGACTTATTATATAGTTTCTCTGCGACAGAAATCTCAGAAATCAATACACATCCCATAACTAAAATTTCGAATTTTAAAACAACAGAAATCAATACACAATCAGAATTGCAAAATATTGCCAGAGAACGCTTTAAATTCAAACGATTCAATGTAACATTGGTACAAAATCTTAACACATTCGTAAAAAAATGACAGTACCCTACAATCCGGCGACCGAAGGATGCTTATAGGGTAGCTTGAAGATGTAGATCCGACGTCGTTGTGATCTGATTTAGCGTCTGCTCGACAGATAGAAATACTGAAATTGAAAATCAATATTTATGACCAGGGAAAAATTTACAAGTCAGATTTTATCTATCTCAAAAAAAAAAATCAGGTCCAAAAGGTTTAGAATTCCAAAATTCAGGTTTTTCATAAATTAATTAATTATATTCACAATTATTATATTAAATCAAATATCAAAATGTAATATAATATAATTAATCCATCCCACTGCCACCTCTGCTCCGACGACTACTCCGGTGACCGACGACCACTTCGGCGACTTTTTCGATATCACAGATCAAAAATTTTATAGGTCAAGTATTATTTCGAGGTCACAGATAAAATTTTTTGTAGGTCACGTATTATTTCGAGGTCACTGATCTAAAATTTTATAGGTCACATATTATTTCGAGCTTACAGATCAAAAAATTATAGGTCACAGATTATTTTTTTAGTTACAAATTATTAATTTTAAGTTAGGTCACAGACACAAAAAAGAACTACCACCGCAGTTGACCCGCCACGGCAATAACAAAAAACGACAACTACCACACGGATCACCATCACCAATCTGCGACATTTTCCAAAACCAGATCCCATCTTATCGACGGCTGCCACCAGATCCACCGCCCACGACAAACAGTGGGTCACATACATTGACATCACCTCCACCCTATCGATACCAGATTCCTATGCTAAAGCATAAGCTACTATAATAGTCAAACAAGACTCTAAAATAGACCAAAAAAGTGAAAACCAAACTTGCCCCAAACCAACACCAAACAAAAACCTCAACCACGAATCCGGTAGTGGGCATGAACGATAAACTACAAGAACCGAATCTGGGATGGGGACAATGACGCTGGAAGATTCCCGGCGACAAAATCCGACTTATTGACCTAGGCCTGGACAGAACTTGTTGAAAACTGAAGCCCATCCATCTGCGCAGGCCGAAACACCCACACACCCAAACAACCGACAGGGAAGGAGTGGGAGGGGGAGGGGGAGGGGAGGAGAAGGAGAGGGAGGTGGGAGTGGGAGGATGGAGAGAACGG